GATTTAAAAAATTTGATGAGAGAACTAAACTGAATGAGAACCTTGTAATTAAGCACATAGCAGCTACTAAATTTCTAGTCTATACTAGTTATGTTACTGAATACCCTTATTAAATAGGACAATTATTCTACCTACTGTTAGGACATGTTAAAGATTTCATTTGTTTTTTTTCAGTTGCGTATCAATCTGCTGATCTCTGTAGGTTGATCTATTTCTCTATTGTTGCTTTTTGGGGGTTTCGTTTATTTAATATTCTTTATATCAATTATTCTTTTAGTCTTTTTGCCTCATTTTAAAATAAATTTTTTCATTTTCTTCATCTATGTCTGCCTTACTGAACTCACAGCTGCCTGTCAGTTCTCAGGACTCCATGCTGTGGTTCCAGGCAGATTGGATTATGTCTATGTAGAGATAAAAGTATACCACTGCTCTGGGTTCAGGAAATGGCTCTGAAAGTACTTTCACTTTGAGGTGTCTGACCTACAATGTAAATATAGATGGAAAGTCACATACAGCAGTTAGAAGTGAATTTTGTTGAAAATGAGGTTATTAAAAGAAAGATCACTGTGAAAAATCTAGATTTTTTACTGAACACCACTTCTTTTTGACTCTTTTCTTTCAACTAGTTATCTTTTTTTCCTTTCAACAAAAACTCTTTGATGTATTTTCCACCTAAATGAAAGTATTGTACTAGGGATGCTTTTCCTTTCCCAGAAACACTGATGGAACACTACTAATTAGTTTTTAATTGGTGATTTTACTGATCAATTTTATTTTGACTTTTTTTCACCAGAATTTGATTTTCACTGTATTTATGTCTTAGGTTTAAAAATTCTTTATGATTATTGTTTCCTCTTCCTGAAAAATACAAAATTTCTTCTTAATTCTAAATGGAAAAATACACTTTCATATGCTTCTGAAAGAATTGATCTATGCTTTCAGATATTTGCAGATCTGAAAATAAATACTGGAATTTAACCACAGTTCCAAGCTCCTATTATTTCTATGTCTTTTTGAGGAAATGCACATTTATTCAAAACAAACCTAAAATGAACATGAAGACTGCTCAATTTTTCTTCTTGATGTCCCAAAGACTATATACCCTTAGTGTACCACATAAATCAAATGGTTGAAAAATAGATCTGATTTAGAAAAAAATGCATATCGGAGTATTTGCATCAGATTTATACACAGAAGATCATCAAACATTGGCAATCAGCAAGAATTAATTTTAGCTTAAAGATTATATTTTGTGTAGATGTACGAACAAAACCAATTACTTTCAGAATTATTTTAAAATATAGAGAGTAAATCTTGCAAAAATTCCCAGTATCATGTAACTCTTACTGAAAGAATGAGTACCATTTTTTAGGAAGAAAAATAATTTTGCCTCATGCTTGTAAGGCACAAGGTACAGATGATAGCTATTAGGTAATTTAACATTTTCTCCATTGACCTTTGTAAATTGTCCTGCAAGCCAGTAAAAAAGACATTTTTAGAAGTTCTGACCATTTTATATCTCTCCTCATTATATCCATTTATAGTCCTTAATCATATTCCCCACATTAAACTATTCTTGTTCTGCTCTTTCTATAGATAGTAAACCAAACCAGGGGACCCATAAGTGCTTCTCTTGTCCCAAGTGCAGTTCAGTGTGTTACCCACATCCCACTTTATCTCAGAGTGATATCTGGGCAAAAATCATCCTTTCTCACACCTTCCTATTCATTTGTAAGTGTGTAGACAAGAAGGAAACCATAACCTACTACAGCTGTCTGGGCATACAATAAAGCCTTGTGGAGGTACCAGTGGTGGGTTTCCCTGGGTCTGGATTGAAGGCACTTGAGACAATACTTTGTGTTTGGACTCAAGTGTTTACTATTTCTTATCAGTAAAACAGTCTCACTGATGTGAGCTTGGCAGCTTTTCATCAGAAGGCACAAAATGGCCAACAAACTCGTTACAAGGTCTTTTAAGGCTAAACTATCTAGTTAAGAACTGATACCTAGATTTTCCCTTTTAATGCAATAAGTGATCCCAAAGAGCCTGCAATGTGGACTTTTCTGCCCAATTACAAAATGCCACCCAAACCCATGAAGAGCAAAGGCCTTTTCTGCTTTCATACATCTGCACTGGTGAGGAAGTTGGATTGCATGGGAGACTGGGAGAAGGCACAGCCAGGACAGGTGACCAAAACTGACCAAAGGGATACCCCAGACCATGAGACATCATCTCAGTATATAAAGCGGAGGGAAGAAAGAGGAAGGGAGGGGGGACATTTCAAGTGATGTTGTTTGTCATCCCAAGTAACTGTTATGCATTATGGGCTCCTGCTCTCCTGGAGATGGCTGAACACCTCCCTCCCCACAGGAAGGAGTGAATTAATTCTTTGCTTCTGTTCACAGCTTTTGCTTTCTCTATTAAATTTTCTGTACCACAATCCACAAGTTCTCTAGCTTTTACCTTCTGATTCTCTCCACAGTCACTCTGGCAGGGAAGAGCAGAGGAGAGCCCCAGCATGGGGCTGCTTGGCTGGGGTTAAACCACAGCACAACCCCAACTCTTTGCCTTTCCTCACAGGAGAGATGTACCAGGCCTGATCATCTTTGTGGTCCTCCTCTGAGCTAGGCCCAACAGATCCATGTCTTTCCTGGACTGAGTACCCCAGAGCTGGAGGCAATGTTTCATGTGGGGTCTCACCAGGGCAGAGCAGAGCAGAGGGGCAGAATCCCCTCCCTCCCCTGCTGCCCACGGGGCTCTGGATGCAGCCAGGACACCTTTGGCTCTCTGGGCTGGGAGTGCCCATGGCTGGGTCATGTCCAGCCTCTCACAGCACCCCCGTGTCCCTCTTGGCAGGGCTGCTCTGGATCTGTTCATCTCCCAGCCAGTGTTGATTCCTGGTGTTTCCTCGATCTTACACTTAGCCTTGTTGAACCCCATGAAGTTCATCCACTGATGTAATCACTCTATCATAGAAGGCCTTTAGGTTGGTCAGATAGGACTTGCCCTGTGCAGTGAAACCTCATGATTTAAAGTATATCAAATGCTTAATAACTTCTTTCAGTAAAATAACACTACAAATTTAAGTGTGCTTTGGGTTTTACAGAGCAAAATAAGGAATTAATTTTACAATTATTGAGCTTGCATCTTTTAAGAAAGTAAAAGCATACTGAATGTCAGAAGCTGATGTGTGAAATGAGGCAATTATTTAAATATTTCTTTACTTTTCTGTAGTGCTATATGATCTACATCTCTGGGCATCCAACAAGAAACCAGTGATGGTTTTAGAAGGCACAAATAGAATTTCTCCCATTAGATATGAAATAAGGACTTTGCTGAGTTTACATTATATTTTTTTCTGTCAGAGACCCAGGAATCAATATTTGCATGTATCTTCTATTATAGCTACCTGTTAAATTATCTCATTATTTTCCCTTTCTTCTCTTGGAATAAGCAGGGAAGTAGTGGAATCTATTGCACTACCTACCGTTTGCAATAAGCAGTACTTCTAAACCTTATCAAATTAAATTTGGATTAGCATATCAAAGTTGATTGTCCTAAGGGCAAAAATTTATGATAAAGTTATTCCTTAATTTTTAGACTATGCTGCAATACAAGCTTCTTTCCTGTCAGCCTGGGAGGTTCAGAGCCCCTGCTTGCCTCAAACCTACAGAGACTTCTCACCAGGAAGCTGGAGGCTGATCCTGTAGCTGGATTCCAAATAATTCTTTGAGTTCAGCACAGGGAAAAATAAAAAAAATCCCCCACTTTTATCATGAATCTGAAGCTGTCAAGAATGTTTTGAAAAATTTGGATTACATTTCTGATACCTGAGTTCCATCCAAAATTTATTGTTCAACTTTGTGAAGAACAGAGAATCGGCAACACAAGCACCCTAGTGGGAAAAGGGTATTCACTTGGGATGTCTGAAGTACTGAATTTGTTCATGCTTTCTTGGGTTCTTATGTCACTGGTACTGTTATAATGTTGAAACTTAACTTATTTAATGAATATAAAATATTCACGTGAACCAAAAAAAAAGTATTATTGTGACTTTAGATCAGGTTTAAATGGAGCATAGGTTGTATTGAACTATGCAGTCCATTAAATAATTACCATTACAAGCCCAACAGTGACATGTAATTAATATTACCCTGCTGCAGCAGTGAGCTGCATATTTCCCTCAGCCATGTAACACCTCCTTGTGTACCTTGCACACATGCTCTGTGATGCACTCACTTGCTTCATGATGCTTATGGTTTCAGCATTTTTGTATGAAATGCTCTTAAATCTCAAAAATCTTTGATTTCTTTCACTTGAAATGGTATTTATTATGTATCTTGCCACATAAGTTGGAATGCAAAAGACAATGACGAGGAAGGAGAAGAGAAAACACGTGAGGAGGTAAATAAATAAACTGTTAAATTTTTCAGGGCACAAATTTGTGTGAGATCAGCTGTGAGGGTTAGTCAGTCATAGCTGAATCATCGAAGATCCAGAAAAGAGGACTCTAAGCACCTTCTTCAGCTATAATTTACATATATTTACCTTTTTTTCAGCATAATTATTTCTTACAATTGGCCTCTGACATAGACCTTCTGACCCAGCTGTATTCCACAAGCCATATCAGAGATATTGTGAAATGAAATATAACTATGTGTCAGTAAGTGGTGTGATTCTAAGGGAGACTCACTGAAGCTAAATGAGTAATTGGGGCTGAGAAAGTTGGAGCAAGGGTGATGTGCTTCCAAAATGCTCCAAAAAGAGATTTTTGCAAATTCTAGCCACTCCTGCCTGTAGTAGACCATAGTATGCAGAGGATATTTTTGCCTGTGTGTTAGGCAAAATAATATTTTGTTTCTAAATGCTAAATTTCCAACTGCATTTGATTACTAAATGCAAAACCATCCATTTGATGAAATACTGCAGAAGAGATGAACTCGTATTGAAACCCAAGAGCTGATCAGTTGAGGTTTAAAAATGTTTTTTTTTTCCTACAGAATACATGGAAATTACAAGAAGGAATGGAAAACAAATGTTTGAAAAATAGGGAATGGTTTAGGTAAGTTTATATTCAAACTCTGAAAATTCTCAGGATCTGTGCTAAATGGATTAACATATTATTAAAGAAAACAATGAGAATTATTTTATTTGAGACCAAGTGCTTTCTGGATGAAAAGAGTTCTATACTTTCATCATTTTGAATCCCTCTACAATACAGATACAATCCTATGAAAGGATTGTATTACAGTACAAGATGCATAATTTCTTCATTATATATGTCATAGATCCTTCCGTAGGTCTAGTTACAGTATTACTTTTAGGTACATATAATGTATGTATATTGTATATTAATGTATATACATACATACAGCATATGTACATATATACATATGCTGAGAATCTAAAAGTTGTTGATTTTGGTGGTAAATGAATTAAACTGTGATTAGGGTGTCAGTAACTGTTGCAAACATCTTTTGTGAAAAATCCTTTCCTTAGGATTTTTCCTCTTGATAAGCTGAGAGGCCTCCGGAACAAAATGTAAACATTGATTATCTGCTGCTGTGGAATGCAACAGGTGGATCTGTGATTGGCCCATCTTGGATGTTTGTAATTAATGGCCATCACAGCCCAGCTGGCTCGGACAGAGAGCCAAGCCACAAACCTTTGTTATCATTCTTTTTTGTTCTATTCTTAGCTAGCCTTCTGATGAAATCCCTTCTTCTATTCTTTTAGTATAGTTTTAATGTAATATATATCATAAAATAATAAATCAAGCCTTCTGAAACATGGAGTCAGATCCTCATCTCTTCCCTCATCCAAGAACCCCTGTGAACACCGTCACAACTAATGAACTAATAAAGACAGATCAGAGGAAAAATCATGAGTTTTAGACATTTTGGGATTTATGATGTATACCAAAAAGAATGAAAATAGTCTTCTCCATCAGATGTTTTAATCTAGATGAGGAACCATTTCATCCAGGAGGCCACACTGCAGAGTCTGTTTTCAGAAAAAAAAAAAAAACTAAGGGATTTTTTTAATGACAAAAGCCAAATTTCAAAGCCTCAGAAAATTTTGGAGTAAAATTAACTGTGAATTTCATGGCTTATGTGAACTGAATTACCACTTATTTAGCTCTTTGGTATTAACTGCACCTTTATAACCAAACAAAAAGGTAATTATGCAGCATTTTCACTTATTGATTATTTTTGTATCAGGTTTGCTGATTGCATTGCCAATAATTAGGGCACAATACTGCTTTATTTCATGGTACTTAAACTGCTAGAATATGGTGCCTGTTGGATGAGCAATTTGCCTCCACAAAATGCTGGAAATGTTAAGATTGTGGTCCAAATATATTGTTTGCAGAACAAAAATTGAAATTCTTATCTGTATTGGAAATCAGAATACAGTTACAAACTCAAGTAGCTGTTTTCAGGTATAGACAGATACTTGTGTGCATCATTAACTGACTGGTGTAAAGATGCATAACTGATCATCAAAAGTCTACATGATTATTTACAGGGAAGTTCTCAGCTACTCCAGAGTACTTAGGAAATATTAATGTTGAGACGATAATGATGATGACAGCCCAACATCCAATTGAACAATGCTGGAATTTAGAGTGTCACAGACCAAGAGCAAATGGTCAATAATCCCTCATGGCAGTTGTAAACAAGCCAAGAATCCATGAAGCAAAATATAAAATTTTCATACATGACAAATAACTAACATTTGTTCTGTAGACAATTAGCAGCCATGTAGAGATGTTTGTCAGAAAGTATATTGTGTGTCCAGGAAGCTGTATCTAGGATCTTTGTATCCCAGAAATTGGACAGGCAGTGTTTACTGTTTGTTGAGCAATGTCTCTTTACTCTGCCTTGATGCTTGCTAAACTGCCTCAGGACAGGTAGGAAAGTTAATTCATTAATTTGGTATTTTTCTGAATTTTTTTGTTTAGGGAGATAAGGAATCTCCAGCTAACAGGAATGACAAGCTTGCAAGGAAGAGTGAATGACTGATTAACCATAGTGTCAAAGCACTCATAAGAATTTTGAATAGATACTAGGAGTAGAAGTTATTCCTTTGACTTCAGTGAGGCCAAACTTGTACACCATGGTGCTACCTAAACAGAGACAGTGGCATTGAGTGATATTTGGCTGTTTCTGAATTCCTGTGTATAACATTCTGTAATATTTCTTCAACCATATGTAATGCTTGTCTGCAGAAACTATAATTTCAGTATGAAACGGTAGCTATAATTCAAAACATAGATTTATCTTTTGGGTTTAGTTTAGTATTTACCACTTAATTTCAGGTTCTTTTAAGAAGACAGAGGAATGTTATTACCTTTATCAGTCTCTGTTATTCCATCAGTGATTATGTCGTAACTCATTTGGTGATTCATTCTCACAGTTATTTCAGTTTTTCTGAATTTTATTTTTTATTTAGGGCAGAGAGTTGAGGGAAAGTAATCATAAGATAAATAAAGACTTTTCTCTCCCATCTTCTTTTAGTAGAGTTTAACAAATCTGCCTTGACTGACAGAATGGATTTTTCATTGAGTACAATGTGCTGTTTCTTGAGACTACATTTATACATAGAATATGTTATCAGAATAATGATAACTGCAAGCAAGTCTGAGAACTTAGCAGCAAAAGGAATGCATTTAATGAGTTTACTCGCATAGAAATATATCAAAATAGCGCAATAGATTTCTTAATATGTGCATTTTGAGCCAATATACTATACCTCTAAATGTTCCTCAGATTTTAAATATATAGTTTTCCATATTTAAATTAATAAAGGAGAAATACTTTGCCTAGGTATATATTTTGTTATAATAATAACAACAATTTTCTACTGTTCATTCACATGAAAGACATTAGCCCACATTCCATTTTTTTACAAAAGTAAGAAACAGTTCTAGCTTCTACAATATATCAACAAAAGGCTTGCTGGAAATATAACACACTTAAGGTAAAAATTATAAAATAAAAAGAAACCCATTAATTTCTTAGAGATTCACTTTTAGATCCAGATCCTCAAACAAACCAGGAGTCTCAGTAGAGTTTCATCAGTTTATAACAGCCATGGATTATGTCTATAATAAGACAAATGGGAAATTGTACATTTAAATAGAGTAATCACTATGTAAACAGAGACAGCAGAACTAGATAAATCATTATTCCTAAGAAGAAAAACTGAGTGTCATTGATTCCAATCCCATCATAAATACAAAATGACATCTTATTTCTGGTAAAAGTGATACCTTTCTTTTTCCTTTGATTAGTAGAATAACTAATGCAATATGTGTGGAAATATATCATACTTAGCTTTGATAAAACTTCAGGGGAAATTTTGTCCAGGTTCTGATACCGCACAGCAGAAAAGGTATGGCCCAATAATAAAACCATGGGACAGACCATAAGAGTGTTTTGAAAGAGATGACATATGGGAGAGAGTGTGGGCATTGCTTAGCTGTAGAATAGAAGCTCTGAAGGTGATACAGAAACAACATTTAAATTGGAAAAGATAACTGTGAAGAGACAGAAAATAAATTCCTGACCACATGAAAGGTGATAAAATGGGTGGAAGATTCAAAATAAGCAAATAATGATCAGACAAGGTACTAAGAGAAATATCCAATATTATGATATCTGGTTTCTGTATAGCCTTCAGAGATGGTGATGCATCCAAATAGATTACTGGACAGGGCTATGGTATCTGCATTGTTGAAAGTCTTAGGAATGACATTTATATCATAAACTGAAAGTAAGTAAAAAATAATATTCTATTTTCCTTCATATACATGCACTGATGTAAGAAAGAATATTGACTGGGGAAAGAATATTGACTAAATAAACTTTGTATGGTCATTCCAATCAGCATTTTTTGGTTATACTGAAATTTATCATTGGAATGACAAGAAATGAGAATCAAGGGAATTTTTTATTGCTATTTGTCAATAAATACTTGCAAATTTTTAAAAAAAACATAATCCTCTGAAGTATTAGGTTTTAATTATATAATAATATAGTAATGGAACATGATGCAGAATGTTTAATAGCAAGGATTTTTCAAAGAACCTGTCAGTATTTTTCTGCCTGTGGAACAGATGAAGAAAAAAAGGTGAAAGTCTCAATTAGTTGACCTTACTATTACTCAGGATTTTACAACAGATTCTGAAGGGAAGCTCAGTGAAGGATGTAGTAATAAGAGGAGAAAGGATAAAATGCAACAAAGGTCAATTGCAGGTAGATTTTGTCAGAACAAGTTTAATGACTACAAATTTACTGAAGTTAATATATCTGTAGTCTACCTGTGAAAGAATCTGATTTGGTGATCTTGAACAAAATATTTCTGGTGAATTTGGTATAGAAAAAAAGTAAGATTAATTCAGTTTGCCCAGCATTTTGTTGATTATATTGGCAAAGGAGTTGTCAGTCTTTTAATTCCCATCTGCCAAAAACCAAAACAAGGATAAATGTTAGTCTAGGTGTACTACATTGGGTAAGAACAGAAATTTTTCTTATGTCCTCTTAATTAAAAAAAAAGAAAATGAATTTTGAAACCAGTTAATGAAAATTTTACAAGATCCTGTTTAAGATCACACCAGCTTATTCAAGAGTTTCATTTTCAAAACCAGATAAACAGAATAAAATTTCATCCAGTCCAGTTCCCAGTAATTTAAGTTAGAGGGGTTCTGTATTCAATACATTTTCTGTATAGGACAATACTCTTCAGAGTACTTGAAATATGAAAAGAGATCAAGTAATATTTAGGCATTAGAGACATACAGCATAAGGAAATAGCAGTAGAACTAATAAGTTAAATTTCTACTCTGAAGATAACGTGGAAGTGCTTACTTTTCTTGTACTTAGGGAAGCTAACCGAGTTGACTGATATGATTTTCCCACTGCATTTCACATCTTTAAACTTCCAAAAATGTTCTGAAGAAATTGTAGAGATGGTCTTAACACAGAAATAACTTTGTCTTTCTAAATACCAAACTTACTCATGGGGGAAATAATATGTACTTCTGTGATTTGCTTTCTAACCCTAAAGAAACGTTTGAGGATGCAGTCAGGGATAGGATGTGTGGACAGTTGAATAGAAAAGGAAATGAAGTGCCTTAGTGCTTCTGATTCCCATATAGATAGCATATAATATATAGCAAGCTTGGTTTGGGATATGTTTTCTAAGAAAATCTTTACTCTAAATGAAAAATTTTGTTTTGTGAAAAGTCACCAGCCATGATTCGCTCTATTGCATCTATGAGATTAAAAAATGGTCCATAAGCTGAACTGAGTTCAGACTTCCTGAGGTTCATTATAATGAAAAACCAGCACAGGAAAACCTTAGAATGGGATAAAGCCATACCAAGGTACAGAAAATGATAAAACAGGCAAGTAAAATAAATGGTTTTCTGTGTTGTAGTAACTTCACAGTCTATAAAGCTTTAGATAAAGTTTAAGTTTTCAGGATGTTAGACTCCATGAGGTCTTCCCAGCAGCCTAAGTGAGGTTGGATCAGGTTAAAGTGGCTTCTGGAATTTCACTTGCTGTAAGCTGAAGAGCTATTTAGCTGCTTTTGCTCTCTGCTTCCTTCACCCAGCTGGTGGCTGTTGCCAGAAGATCACAATTTATTTCTCTTTCAGAAACGTTTCCTGCCTGCTTATGTGTGTCTTCATAGAGAAGGCACTGGAGAAGCACCTCAGATCTCCTGGTTTCTAAGATGTAGGTCCTGAAGTTCCCAGAAATTTGAGTCTTTCAGGTTCCAAACTCTTGCCAAGCTAGAAACCATACCAAGGGAGTAGGTGACTACGATTCTCAGCTCCACAGTTTTTCAGCATGTCTTCTGGGAACTGCTGAGTTACTATACCAGTTCTGTTGAGATGATCCTGTCATCTCCATGTGACTTTCATGGCAAACTATTAAAGGCTTGTAAAGTAAAATATTCTGATATTTTGCTCCTCCTGTAAGCAAAACTAATTACATAAAGTTCCATCTAGGTTTATTTTAATAATTGAGAAATCTATTTATCTGGGCAAGGGAGACCTTGCTCTGTGCAGAAGTTTCATTTAGTTTCCTGGCCAGAGCAAAGCCATTCCACCTCTTCCAAACATTTTGTATTGTCAGGTGGGAGAGGCTCAGAAAGAGACCTAAATGTATCATTCTTCCACTCTGGGGACCAAGAGCAGGCACAGAGATGGATCTTAGAGACTCCAGGGCTATTAAGAGTTTCTTGGTCTGAGCCAGAGTGGACAAATAATAACTAGGATACAGACAAATGAGAAAACTCTCAGAAGCTGTAGCATTGGGATGGAGAAAAGAAACAAACCTATTGCTGTAAATTCACACTTCTCAAAGAAGGTGTGGGGAAAGATAGATACAGGAGAGTAGAGACAAGGCATTTTTAGAAACACATTTCCTAACAATGCATTTCATTTCCAAGGGTTGTAGATTCAATAAATATCATACCTGTTAATAAGCACATCCAAGGGTCACAGTTTTGAAGAGTTTGTTTTGGCTGGTTTGGTATATAATTGAATATAATTTCTAATTCGGTTTTATTTTTGGTCTGAAGAGGATCTTATAAAAGCCGTTCAAATGTTTAGCTTAATGTACTGTCAGGTAGAATATAAATTCCTCAGTTAGCACTTCATATAGCATGCATATACTTTACCACATTTCACAGAGTAAAGCAAATAAAAGTTGTTTGGTTTAAAAATTTTCTCTCAGGGTCAAATACAGTGTATATTAAATCATATGCATCCTTTACAGCTTGCTAAGAAGCAAGTGAGAGAAAAGAAAAGCTGAAGAGAAAATGAACACTGGAATTTAATTGCATCCCACTACTCATCTCATTTCCACTTTTTTATATTAGAATGCTAGAAGCAAGCCTTGCCAAGCTACCCAAAAACTCTTGCTGATCCTATTTTATACCCCTCTTTTTATTAATCTTCCTCTTTGCAACTGAACTGAACTTGCCACATTTCAATTCTGAAAAATATTGCAATATTTGAACAATATTACTGGTTTATGTTGCCATATTACTAGGAATTTTCACCAATCACATAAAATTTTAGCTTTGATAAGTGTAACATAAATGAAGAGTTTATCAAAGAGAGAATTAATTAATCATCCTTTTTTTCACTTTATTTCCCATGTTGAGATTGTGACCAAATCACCAAAGATGTTTTAAAGTCCATGTTTTATTCTGGAAAATAAAATTGTTTTTTTACCAATTTTTTAACCAATTGTTAAAACCAGCTGTTCTTTCTGAAGGCTGTGATCCTATACGTCCTCTGAAGGATGTTCAGCTCCTCAGACTGAGATGCCATGGATGCAGGCCCTGCTGTGGCTCTTTCACTCCTTCACTGCCTGGGCACGATGCTGAGCAGCTGCTTCAAAACATCCTTTCATTTCTAAGCTCTGCATACACCATTCCTGTCTGTAACCCTTAGCTACCTCCCATTTCCTCTTCCACATCCTTCTCCATCAGCTTCAATTCTTTCTATTTCACAGGTATCTCGTTGCTTTAATCCAGGATGCCTCTACTACTCTGACCACCTCATTTACCAGTTAGATTTTGATCTCACTTAATACTCATTTGTGTTTTAAGATACAGCTAATCCATTTAATCTCAGCACTTTCCAATAAATTAGGAAAGAGGTAAGTTGAAGCCATACCTTGCTATGTTTTTTTACTCTCGTTTGTTTATGTAGTATTATGACACTTGATTTGTGTGCTATTTTGTGCAACCAATGTCTTTCAGAACAAGCCAGACTTACTATAGGTCAATTGCAAAGAGCATCTGTAGGAAGAATATTCCAGAGAACCAAGCTGTCCTAAAATAGATGTATTTTTTGGCACAATTCCTGGGTCACTCTTGTTAAAATCTAGGGTGTGACTAACAACTGGCAGAACACATTAAGGATCTTATGTTCCTGAAAACAATCTGAGTATCAAGCCAGACAAAGTTATCCTGTATTTTCTTTCACATTTAGGATTAAAAAATTAAAATTAAATTTGTACTATGCAGATGTCTCAGAGAGAAAAGCACTGACACTGTTTAAAGACATTGATTGTCTTACAATTTGCCAAAGTGGTCATTAAAACCACATGAAAAGCTAACATGTGATTTACTTTCGGAATCCATATTCTGAAAATCTGCAATCTAAAACTGTGTTTTATTTATCAAAAAGCTGAATAACATAATTAAAACAGGTATTTGTTCAATAATTCTACAGGTGTTTGTTTCAGTAATGGTTATATCAGAATGGCTTTGTGCTATGACATTAGCTTTAGAAAAAAAAGACACACAATAATTTAATTTTAAAACTGAAATGCTCAGGGACTGAGGTTAATAAAGAGCAAGTATTATGCATGAACATCTTTTTATTCATACTTAATATTCATTATCGTTATGGGTAGAAAGCATTTTGAAACATTCTAATTTTTTAAATATTCAAATTCATAATGAGCTGTATAAAATGCATCCCCTTATACCATTAATAGTCTAGTTCCCATTGACACAGTAGACCTTTCCAATCATATCCATTTTTAAATACTCAGACTAAGATGAGAGATTTATGCAGGTCAGCCTGTCATATGCGTGTGGAATAAAAATCTGTAATCATGTACTTTTGTAGATTAAGAAAGATGGAAACACTGCATGCCAGAAAATCGGCAAGAATCTTTGGTACATCTCTGTTAAACTCTCAAATTCCGTCTGCCTTTTAAAGTAATACAAGAAAGTATGCAGTTTTTAAGAAAATGTCTGAATTTTCACCTCTTTTACCTTTCCCCATCTTTCTCTAGATTTAAAAGCCAACAGTTCGCAATATGCCTCTTCCATATCATCACACAAAACCAGATTGGAGCCATTCCAGTTTCCTAATGGATTTTTTCCTTTCTAAACTGCTGGTCTAGCTAGAGACTTTTCATCCATTCAAATATGACAGATCTGAAAAAAAGGATTTCTAGTTTCTTAATCTCTATCTGTAGAACTGCAGTTATCACAAGATTACTGCTATTGACTGTATTTATACAGAAGATATAATAAGCTCTCTATGCTTTCTCTTTTCTGTTGAGTGAAATTTGACTTTCTGAGAGAAAAAGTACAATCATTTTTTAAGACTATTCTTTAAAATTACATTTTTCAGAGCAGTTAACAATTTCAAAGAAGGTTTGAAGTAGTTCTTCTGTCTCCTACAGGCTAACATTTAGGAAACAACAAAGTGCTGCATAGTTTGCCTTGGATTGTTTGACAGAATAGTAGGCTCTAAGTGTTCAGTGTTCATATTTTTATTGAGAAACTGAAAATATTAAGGGTTGGTTCTAAATTTATCTTGGCAGTGAGGTTTACTCTAGCAGTGATGATGTCTTAAGTAAAATGGAAAGGATATTTTTGTTTCTCAAGTGTCATTGTTTCTTCAGCACCAGCTTGCCAGTGATTTTTTTTTTAATTATCATTTAGTATTCGATGTGTTGGAAAAAAGGTAAGTGCAAAATGAAAGTTCTCAAAGAGATAAATTCCAGTTTGTGATATGAAGGTCTCTTTCCAGACTTAGGAAGTGATGATTGTAGTTGTTTGCAATATTCTTTGAAAAAAGCACTCAGGTAGAACTCTAATAATGGTTTCATGCTACCCACAGCATTAGTCAAGTGTTTTAAAAATGAAATAGAATCAAAGTAATTGTGAAATAGGAAAATTGTTGAAGGCTTGTAATGTTTAGAGAAAACTTTATGTCCCTTGAATGATCTTGAAACAGCTTTTTTTTAAACATCATCAATTTACATAAGATCAATTCAATGTAGAGCAAGAGGGATACCTACGTGTCAGGGAAGATCAGGATTTGGCCCCATATAAAAGTTCTTTGATTAAGAAGCTAAAGACTTTTTTGCAAAATTACTAGCCAACATTATAAACTTGCAACTGTACGAGCACATTTTTAACAAGAAGCTTACCTTGATTGAGTCAAGATGTTAAAACACATGAAAGAATTTGCATGGTAGAAGAAAAGAGTCTGTGGATATAAACACTGAGAACTATAATGATGTTAAAACTTAACGATGAAACATTTGATCCTTTTAATGAATGACCTCTGAAAATCCTTCTACCTCCAGTGACCTCTGTAATGCTTTGTGTTATGTAGTAATAATACAGGCAGGCTACATATCAGAGGAAAGATACAAAATTCACAAAAAATACTGAATAATAAAGTACATAATATTTTCAAGTCTCAGCACAGTTTCTCTAGAGATTATCACTTTTCTCTATATGGTACTGCACTATAAGCATAACTTAGATGCCTGACAATGGGAGTACAAATTGCTTAATGATATGTTGCTAAAATTATTTTATAATGAGAAAAAATTACTTTCCTTAATATTAGGGAGAATGAAAGAAGAAACAGTCAAACATTTTCTGTCTGTAGTTAAACTATTAAATTCATATTTAGCCACTTGAATTCTAATGCTTATATTTTTAAAAATTCTGAGTACCAGCTCCTCAGTGGGCATCACTGAAATCAATTAATGATTGACATCACTGGAAATCAAGCCCTCTATTTAAATGCCAGGGGCACACACATTTCCCAAGAGTACATACAAGATACAAGGGTAGTTTTTTGATATCTGCAGCTTGTGACTAAGCTTGAGCTCAGACACTCATGATCAGAATACTCAGTGGCAGGCTGTAATTATGTTCAGGTTTGGATCATGCAGCAGAACATCTGAGGTGATAGCCCCCTCAGGTCATGATGTGGATGGGAACAACCACTGTCCTTTCCTAGCCACGCTGCCCTCCTACATTACCACTTGTTTGTGTTGTGGGAATATCATCTCGTCCAGATGAGTCACCCAGCAGGGTCCTTCCAAAAGCATCTTAGGTCACATAAAGCAAGAGAGAATCATGTAAAAGAACACCCTGTCCAGGCTGACATATTGCTGTCAGTGCAGATGAATGGAGAGGCGATAGAGATCACTGCTTCAGCAGGCTTCAGTCTGCTCCTTGACTCGAGTAATTTATGACTGTATTGACATAACCTGGCAGTTAATTTAAGGTCCTGAATGTGCAATGTAACTTTTCAGTTTAACTCCTGATTTTAATTGTGATCTGGTAGCTCAGACTAGTGAGGGTAAGAAATATGTGTCAGATTCTTAGAAATCTTAGAAGTAAACCTGTTTTAAATAATCACCTTTAATGGTCGTTGTGTCTTATGTTACTACAGTAGGCAAAACAAAAGTCTTGACTTAGAGGCAGACAAGCTGAATAACATTTTCCACTTTTTGTGCATACTGATCATGAATGCAACCTGAGGAACAAGAAATAAGATTTAATAATATTGTCTTGTTTAAGTGGGGGAAGTTATTCCTGTGTTGATATTCTTAAAACATCAAGCTACAGGATTGACTTTAAGCCCTTTAAATATACCAGCAAAAAGTACTTATATAATCCTTCAAGCAGAAGGAAAAAAGGATATATTCTGTTTATAACACACTAAGTAGGCAGATGTCTCTAAAGTAGATTCCACTTCAATGCAAGACTGTGATACCAATTAGAAAGCATATGCCATATTGCCTTGACATCCTGTTACTAAATGCTGATGAAAGTTTATGATCACAAGTGAAATATGTAAAGCAGGACTGAAAATAATCTTTCAAATTAAAACTGTTAAAATATATACTGTGCAGAATGCACACCAGGTGTTCTGCAATGCAGGCTCCAGGGATGTATTTCTGTGGAGTTTGTGGAGTAAAGCAGCAGATTTCAATGCTGCCTCAAGTACCGAGGCACATCAGGTTCTATATTTTTCTTGTGGAGAGTAACACCAATAGCAAGGTACAGTACAAGATACTGACAGGTGTAGTGGAATTTGACAGCAAAGCTATGGCTGCACCATGGTAAGGAAATTGATTGGGAATCAGAACCTCCCAACTATTTTGAGTTCAGGCATGTTTTGTAGCATCCCCTAGTACCTTGATCCAAGATTATCCAAATTGCTGCTCATGCTGCAGCTTTCCTCCTACTCCTGTGGAAGACGGCCGTGGGGACCTGAGCCTACCCAGGGCATACGATCACCCTGTATCTGATACTGGCATGGATGGCAATTTGTCATGTGCTGAAACCTTGAAGCTGGGACCCTGTTCCATTTCCCCAGTTTTAGGCATACAACAAGGCTGCCATTAAACTTCTGACTTTCCCAGGAATGGGACGATTACACTGTATGTTGTATTTTAACTGCAAGGCTTGATGCAGGGCTCATTGGGCCTAAAGTGCAATCTCATGTTCCCTGTTATGCTGCTTTTATTAAAAATGGGGATATTATTTCTGCATATTCCTTTGTTTCCTAAGCTCTCAAATTCATACTCTAAGACCAAAAATGTTTATCAGAACTAGTCTAATACATTTCGTAGCTGGACAATCAAATTCCAGGGTTTTTCCCTTCACTGAGAGCAAAATCTGATGTGTTTAGAAGGGCTAAGAGTCTGAGCTGAAGACAGTCAAAGACAGAAAATCCATCTCACATGTTCTGATGCTTATTCATATTCAGCCATAAGGAAAATAATACTATTCCATTTTCAGCATATTTCAATAAATTCCAACCATCTTTGTTGTTTTCTTTAAACACTGAAGGATGAATACCTTATCCAGCAAAGCTAGGTATATGCTATGATCAAATCAACTCATGGTCTTAATTTTAGTATTATAATTAGGTAGAACACATAAACCTACCTTTCTTAAGCCCTGAAAGTATTCTTATTAGTTTTTCATGCACCATTCCCTTTTACCATTTCATTATTTTTAATTCCAGCTTTTTGAACTACATGTATACAGGAAATGGTTTTTGTATTTTAGCATCTCTTTGAACAATGCTGAATTCAGAGCTGCATCTTTTGTCACATTCATTTTAAAATCAGCATTGCTCATTTTATATTCTTCTGTCACTGCTAGCCACTCCTAGTTCACTTCAGTGTGTTTCCTCACTTTGAGAAGTCAGTTGACTACCTATTAATCTATTTGCCTGAATTTTGCTGTGATTTTTTAAAAATTTACATATCATGGAGCAGTAACCTAAATGCACTAAACAGAATGGTGTTGATGTAATAAGTGTTTCTGTCCTTTCATACCCTTTATTAATATTACTCTTTATCAGCTTTTCAGTTAATCCAGCTTGTATTGCTACCATAATAACCAATTTATAACCAACTCTGTAAGCCCACTTTAAGTGTTGGCGATGGGAAGAAAATTTTCACTCCACTAGGAATTGTGGTGAGCACTTCTTTCCCATTCTTTCTTCTTCCCATCTTTCTGCTCACTGCAATTCCTAACAAAATTTTAAGATTCATTGAGATAAATATTTTACAATTGTCCTGATTTCAGCCAAAGACCTGGTTAATTTTCACAGTAGGCATGAGGGGGCAGAGCCAGGAGCTGTGTGGGCATGGCCAAGATGTTGTGTTCTTCCATAATATCTTCCATCATGGCCAGGGGTGGGGAAAAGGGAATCTCTCTTGCTTCCTAGAAGTGGGGAGGGAGGTGTTCCTTTCCCGTGGAGCAAGTATGGTGAGCAGCAGGTAAAAAACAATGAGCTGAAGGGTCCAGGCACCGTTGTTCATTGCCTTGGGGCCACACCAGGTGAGGTCAAACAGCGAGCAATTTCTGCATGTAAATCACTCTGATTTTGTATACCTTTGTTATTAATACTGTTGCTGTTCATTTTCATGTCTCATGGCTGTTTCCAGTATTTTTTTCTCATCTCAGTCCATAATCCCTGCCTTTTCTCTTTCTCAACAGAGGGGAGAGGGAGTCTGGTCCTAAATCATGACAACTGTTAGTTTTCAAAATCTCGATTTACCACGTAAGACAAAGCATGTAAGAACTCCAAACATATTCATGCATCCCAGGAAACATCTCAGTTTTGATGAATCACTCCAAGTGATTGAATTCCTCATCTTTACCAGATGAAAACGTAAATTCTCTCTCTTTCAACATAATGAAGTATTCGTTAAAATTATTTTCCTTTTAATCATTATTACAAATTTTATCCCATCTGTCTTATAATTAGGACATGATAATTGTAGATTTTATTACATCTATGTTTGAACTCATGGATTCTGCCAGAAAACATGCCCCTGATGCCTTTTTTTCCTTTTCAGTTTCCTCAAACTGTTCTCATTTATACAGTCTTTCTTTTGCTTCCTCCCAACACTTCATATTCCCTGTACTTATTTGGCTGTTACTGCTTTTTGTTTTCTTTCACCAAGTTCCTGCTAAAGACCTTTATTCCAAACTATTTTCTGCAATTTTTCATATGTTTCTCCTTAATTACAGTAGAAATTATTTGCTATTTATGAAAAGACCTAACAAAACAAGTTTTTCTATATTTTTTTTTCCCTTTGCTGTTGACTTGAACAAGAAATCTACATAGAAATTTTTGAATACTTTTAACAAATTACAGGTTGAGAAAGACTTAGTGGATTAAAGAGAAAGAACAGGGAAAAAACCCAAATTACAGAAACAGCATTTTATCTCATAATTGCAAAACTGTCTAATCTTAGTCTGCATATATTTTCATTGGCTCACATCATTCTGTGTTTACTTTCTCAAACCTCTGTAAGCATCTTGATTTTGAAATTAAAATCTAAAGAGAAAAAGTGTTATTTTTCCTACAAGTTGCATCAATCAGGAGTTGCATGGTTTTGATAGATCCTGGCCATGTAATAGACATAAAAAATATATATAGTGTTTATAGCCAAACATTAAGATGCATTCTAAAAATATTATATTGATTATATCCATTAATGAGAATAGTGAATTGTCCAAAAGCTGTGCTGGATAAATTCTGCATATTTAATTTTTTAGCAGTCTTTGAATGATTCTTGTACCATCTGTAATCCAATTTATAACATTTAACTGCATATGATTTCAATGAATATTTCTAAAGCATTATATATACTTTTTTTCTATCAAATTCATGTGTGTTACTGAGGTTTTCCTCTGATTACCTATAAACAACTAGAATTGTTATTAACTTTTAAGTGGCCTGCACATGATTAAGTAAACATTGATATTGCCTAATGCGTGTAATCATTTACATGTTCCTGTAATCTGTTTTAAAGTCAGTTGTTCTGAAGCACAGGTAACATTTTTCTACATGTCTGATTGTTATTATAATTATGAAAGTATTATTTGATTTCTGATATCATTTTCAGAAAAAAAAAAGTTTCTTCATACTCAAAACTGCTGTTGTCTTAGCTTATATCATAGGTCTTAGTTGCCCCCAATGTTATTTTCCCCTCCCATCTGCTTTTCTACTTCTTTTGATGACAAAGATCATTTATAGTCTTTAAGTTAGTGGTGGAAGGCTTGAAAATATTTTTGGAAAAAGTAGCAAATTAAATATGAATGCTTAGTGGGAGAGACTGAATTAAATATATGAGTGGTGAGGGGGAAGGTCTGCAGATACGGTTGCTGTCTTTGGTTTTAATACATGTAACCATTTAATTCAAGAGCTGTGTACTCCCATTACAATGATTTGCCAGCCTCATATGCAGAAGGAATTTGTGCTTTCCTGTGTTATGAAGCATATATGTTCTTATGTTTTTACTGAAAACTCTTTTCTGGCTATTATCTCAAGTAGTGCTGTGTTTAATCATTTCTCTCAAAAACATGTACGGTATTGGAAATATACATGAAGTTTTATAAAAAGAGTTTTTAAGTCTCCTAGATTTTGTGCAATGCTGAGGCCACTGAAGGATACAGAAGGTAAAGATTGGCTTGATATTACACTGTTTGAGGAGGGATGACAAGAAGCCAAGATCCATCAGGTCTGGCATATGCTTTGCCTCATTTGTTTCTCTTCTACCACGGTCTGGTGGCACAGATGCAAGGAGCCAGTTCTGTAGAGATAGCAGGAAAGATTTTCTTCTCATGGAACAAAGTCTGCTGGTACCTGCTAACGGTCCAATGACAGGGTACAAGTAACTGATGTTTGGCTTCTCTAAGCTTGAATATGAACAAAACTTGGGAATACCCCCCAGCTGGCAGAACAAAGGAAACATGAAATACAGAAGAACTTCAATACCTACTTGAAGTCTTGAATGGATATCATCACCCAATCTTCTATACCTGTTCAGTACTTAAAAAGCACATTTTTAAGCAGTCGAAAAGGTGCAAAACATATTATTAGAAAAATAACTGTGTGATAGACTCTGAGTTAACACAAACATAGATTTTCTTATTTCTTTTCAGGTAACAAAGACTTCAGGAATCCGCAGAATACTTCAGCTAGCAAAATATAAATTATGTACCAGTACATTATCAACTGTTGTATCCTAAAATTTCTGGACAAGCCTTATTGTGCCTATAAACTTCTTTCATAGTAAGTTATGGCAATGGGGTCATATACAGAGTTTGCCAATAAATCTCTAGAACTTTCCCACAGTTAGTAGTCAATGAACTGCTGAGAGTTACTTCTTCGTATTTTTCTAATCTCAAACTGTGAAGCTACACTGGTAGCAATGGAAGAAAAATTTTTAAAGTATTGGTGATAAAGGCAATCAAGGAAGTTCCAAGTAGCACAGGACTGCTTCCTTACTTTCCTTTATTTTTCACATTTCTGGATCATGCCTGACTGTGCACAGAATGCTGAATACCTTGAGCCTTTCATTCCTGTCAAAGCAAACCTATTTACCATTTACCTAGGGAATATGAACCATCATCTAAACAATTTTGCTGGAATAAAAGAGCATTTGCTGATTGAAAGCAGAGGACTGATTCAAGATGAATCTTGGTGAGGTAGGTTGCTAAGATTTTCTCTCTTTTTTCTCTTACTTTGAACATTGTTCTTATGGGATCACTTGCATCCTCAAATGCAGCTACAGGGCAGTGCTTTCATGGACCTGGTTTGGTTTTGTGTCACTTGTGTGCTCTGGTGGCCACTGCTACTTCAGAGCAGCGTTGTGGGAACACCACAAGGCATTACGGCAGAGAAGAACACAGTACCTCAGTATGACACAGAGGGAGGAAGCCACAAAGGGAGGAGAGAACCTTTGGGACCCAAGTGCAGTATTGAGAAGCCCCAATAATCTCTAAAGTGAAAGCGAAGCTTGTAATTTTTAAGATCTGAGATGAAGGGAGTCTTGAATTATGACCCTTCTGTAGTCCTAGGTCACTGACGATCACTTGCTGCCTATTCCAGCTCCCTGTTTCTCAAAGAGTGACAGATGTAACCCTGCCACCCAAGGAGCCCAGGTTTCTTGGTCATGTGGTGGCAGCCTCAATCGATCCTGTTCTTAGGAAGCTTTAAATTCCCTCTGCTTTAAATTTACAGCTCCCTCTGTACAGTGGTCTTTCATATTGACTATATTCTCAACTGAAGTTTTAAAGAACATTGTACCTTAAGATACAACACAGAACTGATTGACCACAACATACATTTTCCACCTGCACATACTTTTATCAAACAAGTAATGGAGTAGCACCATCATGATTTTTGTCAGCAAAATAAGCCATCCTTCTTTCTTAGAAAGGACTTTGTCAAAGAAAAGTTAGACCTACATAGAAAATGTGGACTAAGGTCAGCACCAGCAAAATAGTATCAGTGGAAAAACCCTAACTTTTCTGTTACTTACATTTTTTTAGACTAAATTCCAGTCTCATCTTCTTTTTCATAACAGTGTTCAAGAAAACAGCAGTTGTTAATCCAAAACTCTGTCAATCATTCTACCAAATGGAACAAAAATCACAGGATGTTGAGTCGCAAAGCAAAATAATAAAAACCCAAAACATAGAAAATTTACAGATACCCCTCTTCATATAAATGTTTAAAAAATCCCACAAAGAATATTGTCAAACAAGTCTTGCCTAGGAAAAAAATCTTGTGAAATGCTGAGGCAAAGGTTATGATTTCTGGTATAAGTTATTTACTCTTAGGGAAATGGTTTACCCCTAACTAGAAAAACAAATCTGTAGAGCTGGCTTCCTCTGTGAATATGCTAGTAAGTTATTTCCCACTGCCTTTTTTTCTTGTGTCCTTGTAGTCAATAACTTTTGTCAAAGTCTTCTGTGAGAGAAGGGCTAGAAACAACATTAAATCACAGAACTAAAAATAAGCAAATATTTTTGGGCATCACCAGGAGAAAAATACCTATCAAGTCAGATGTACAAACCAGCGCATTAGTGAATCATCATCCGGAGGGCAGAGCACATACTGGGCTCACTTACAGGGGAAAGGTAGAAACTGTGTACATTGGATGCTACTGCAGTAATTTAGTCAGAAAGAGCTATCATTTAATATTAATTCTGTTTCATAAAACAGCTGGGGAGAAAAGGAAAATTATAGAGAGGAATAACAAGGACTGTAATGCTTTAATTAATCACTTGTGCAAGCAACATCCTTCTCTCTCCAGCCCCAATTCTAGCCTGGTCTAGCAGACCTGCCTGCCTCCCATCTGAAGGGCAGGCACCACTTTAATTTCTGTATTTGTTTTGTCACGTATTGCTGGCCTGGAAAGTCTCAAATCCAGTTGCTCCTAAATTGGAGTCTCCATGGCAACATTCACAGAGGTGCACATTGGAGCCAGCTGCCAGAAGAAGACAGTTACATAACACAAACAGGAGGCTTTTCAGTTTACTGACCTGAGATACACAGACAGGCAGACAGATAGAATGTAAATAATAGTGTAAAACTCTGGTGGAAAACTGGATGATGCCACAAAACTATTTAAAATAATTTCAAGAGTTGAGAAGACTCAAGAGGTGAAAATTTAGCTTGCATAAATGGCTTACATTCATCCTTTGTGCTGTTTTTAGTGCCTAAAAGTAACAACTTGCACTAAAGATATGAAGCTAAGAAGGTAAAGTGGTGGCAACACCAGCTGTATGTCAGTTTACTGCCAGATAAATCCAATCTCTGTCAGCCAGGTAATGTCAGAGGTAGATCAGGACTCTCATGCCAACTATGCAGTGCAGAACACTCATAAAGAACAGATTTTAAAGAATGACATGTTGGTTTCCCCAGACTAACTAAAAAGAAATTAGTCAGAAAGATCAGAATGGAGACTGGGTTTGGGTGTGGAATTGAGGAGTAATTAAATACAGAGACTGGAGGGGACCAGCTTACTTTCCATCATATTTGGAAAGGCAATATTATGTTCACCATTAAAACATGATTAGCGGTAAGACCATTTTAGCAGCAGAAAATGCTTAAGTCTCCTGTGAACTTTTCCTTTCATGTATTATGATAGAAAAGAGAAAGTATTTTTCTAGACTTAGAGCAGATATTTGTATTGCAGTCATTGGTTATTTACTTCTCCAGGAGCAATTTTGATGATTCTTTGACTACAGTTGTGTATTTCCATACAGAAATATCATTCATCTTGATGTCAGCAGTGTCCCACAAAAACTTAAGAAGTCTTCCAGGCCTTTTCAGGAAAGAGTGACTGAGAATGTTTAGGTAATTTTGTAATAAAATAAGGACAATTTTCCTCCCCAGAAATGACTTGCGAATGCAAAAGTTTACCTAGGTTTTATCTAAGATTTCAGACTTTATATTCTGCTTATGTTCACATACAAAAATGCATATTTATTTTCAGACAAAAACCCAGCCTCCAGAAAGGTTCTGGTAGACAGCAGTATTTTTTGGGAAAACTGCAGAAGCAGTTGTCCACTCTGGCATTTTGTCATTCAGATAAATGCTAATATACAACACCTGGATCTCAACAGTCATCCATTAGATGCATTTGTGATTGCTCCTTATGTCAAAAGTAATGAGAAAATAGTTCAAGAAAAATATCTTAAAAAAAGGAATAATCTTCTTTTCTAGCTGGCCCTATTTTCTCTGTTAATTCTCAGAAGGAATGTCTACGTCTTGGTCCAATCTCATGTTACAAAAAGTTGAAAGCTTCATTTCTTCTCTGCTTTAAAAATACAAAAAAAAAAAAACCAAAAAATGTAAAGGTGGAAAACTGCACTGATTAAGTCTCTGAAACATGGAGTTTGGGTAACACCAGTGCCAGCAAAGCATGGGTAGTTAAGGGTTTGCCTGGCTGATAAAGCTTACCATGGGTATCCTGCTGTCACAGCCTTGGAAAAAACTCTTATTTTCAGTTCCTCCTGACAGGTCTTCTTTGACTTCATGCCATGTCTTGTGCAGCAACAATATTTTGTGAAAACAGTGAAAATGTAAAACTCAGAATTTACACCATGGAGAGTTATAACCTTTAACTACAACCCCAAACCCACATGCATTACTACTTCCCTTTTTTTTTGTTTGTTTGTTTTTTAAGTATATGAACAGGGACAATTGTTGGCACTGGGCTTCTTAATCACCTGAATATGCACTACATGAAATTGAAAAATAATTCTGAGGAGGAGAATTCAGACAGAAAATAAGGATGCAAAAGTACAGGCCTGAAATTCTGTTGGAATTTCTGGCTCACTAAAATTCTGAAATTCTGACACTTCAGTTATCTTCTTTTTCAAATTCAGTCAATAAAGGCAGGAAGCAGATGTAGCAGAAGTGGAGAGAAATGGAGAAAATGTGAATTGTGAAAATCTTTGGGAATAAATCTAACCAATTTGCAAATAAAATCGACATAAATAAGCATCTATATATATAAAATCAGGGTTTATTAAATTCAAATTTACATTAGAAAGTATTTAAACATGTTGGCCTCAATACTCTCAGTAAAAAATGTTCACCATTTAATCATTTTGCAAATCTAGAAAAACAGGTATCCGTAAGAACAATATTATTCTTAGTTGAAACTGAATTTAATCACAATCAACAGTCAAAAATAGTAGAAAATTTTAAAATTATTTTTTCTAACATCTTTATTAATAAAATACTTTCACTTACTACATATTTTTCTCTTAGAAGCATGTTTAAAAAGAATTTTTAAAATATGGATAGTATCCAGGAAGATGGTCTTCCCTTTCCCTCCTTCCCTATTTTGAAAAACAAAATCCTAAAAACTGAATAAATCCAAAGTTTTCTGCTGTCCCTAACAAGCTTTTTCGTATAAATTCTTAATTTTATCAGCTAAGCTGAAAGAATCCTCTATTCCATGTTTCCTCTGGCAGCACTTACAAGTAAAAGACCAGAGAATAACTGTAGGCACTTCTCCACTGCCTGAATAGTTTTGCAACCCTTTGAGGCATTGTTCTGGAAAGGATATCTCATCCAAGTTAGATTTTGACATTTGAGACCCCAAGCAGCAAATCCCTTGGATGGCCAGGAAGACAAAGGTACCCGAGGTATTTCCCAGCATGGTCAGCTACAGAGCCTTGTTCTTCCCTTGGGGACCACAGCCACAGAGCCTTGCTCTTCCCTTAGGGACCACAGCCACAGAGCCTTGTTCTTCTCTTGGGGACCACAGACCAAGCTCAGGGACAGACTCTGTCAGGGCACAAAGCCCTGCCATGTTCTGGTGCTTTGCCCAGCCCAAGCTTTTACACCCCAAGTGGATATTGAAGACATAGGCAGGTCTTTTCCTTTTTCTGCAGGTATGAGATGTGTTGTTACCATAGTGAACAAAGAGCAGAGAGAAGGGCAATGGGAAACTGAGAATGGGAAAATGAAGTTTTGCACTGGTGGTGTGAACTCACACATCTCCATGGAACTTCAGGTAAGCTGCTAAGATCACGATCTCTTACTGCTTTTGTTTAGTGCTAATTCATCCAGACTATGCTGCTAGCTTTCATCTGCAGAGAATTACAGCTTCTCCTGCATGTGTCAGCTCAGCTGATCAGTACAGGAAGCGTGGAGCATACAGGGAAAGTATCTGCCACGGACACCCCTTCAAGGAGCCCTTTATTTTCACACGTTTATACTCTCATGTTCATACAGTTGAAGCCCAGCTTAACTAAAATTGCCTCTAAATGGCAACATTTGAAAGTAAAATTTATGGGCTCTGTGTTAATTTGGTGAAATCACAATAAATATCTCACACGGGGATAAAGATGCTTCGTGGGACATCTGTCAAAGTCAGAACTGGATGCAGGGCTTCAGGCTGCCATTTTTGCCTTTGGCTGTTTCCTGCATTGAATTTCAGCACATTAAAAATTCTTCACCTTGCATCAAAAGCACTCGATCTTTGTGCAGATTTTCTTTCCAAAGGCTACAGCTTGTACCTTCCTAAGCACCAATGCTCAAAAAGTCTCAAGTGAAACCTTCCTTGTGAAAATGATTTAATTTTATCTAACACAAACCAGGAACAATTTATTATGCCTTTAGCTCTTCAGTTGCTTCCCTGCCTCTCTGACTGTCAGTGTTTAAACCAAATTCAAGATTGACATGCAGAGAGCAATTTTGCCAATAGCTACTCCCAGAATTCTGCAGACCAGCATCTGTGTACATGCATTTTTATCTTACAGGATGGATTACCAATTCTACAGAAAGTGCAGATCCTCAATGAGCATTCTTTTTCATCCTTATAAAAACTAAACCTTTTATTTCTTATTTCTGTATCTTGTGTGTAGATACCAATTACCACCTTCCCCTATGACTATGTGTTGATTTTTCCAATATAATAATTCTATATTTAGCTCATTGGAGCAGTTCCACTTTCTTGCAGTTGCAAGTAAAAAAAAAGCAGCATCTTGTATGGTAAGACCCCTATTCCAGTTCTGAATTGGAATTGATCTTCCAACTTTATCTTGTTTGCAGTGAGCAAAGCACCTCTCTCTGGAGTACCCTGCCTCCACAAACTACTTTAAACAAAAACCCACTCTGTTCAAGTGGAATAAACATTCTAGAAATTTTGAAAAAAATTTGTCATACAATGAAGAGTAAACATTATAATTTCAATGCTTTTTCATCTATATATTTACTTATGTGTTTAACTTGCATTTGCTAGTATAACCATGGGACTATGAGCATGAAAATAACTCCAGCAAATTCCTGAAATATCCTTGGTTTTGCTCTTGACACATATCCTTTCTCCAAATCCCTCTCTTGAGAAAACTTGAAATTAATTTTAAGCATTCTGTTTGCTTCACCTCCGAACAGAGTTTACTATAAGTCTTAAAGGAAACTTCTACTTTTAGGTAAACCTTTATGGGTGACCTCCAGAGACAGAAGGGGAAACATCCATACTACCTATAAAGAAATCGGCTCCATATTTTTCTATTTATATATTTTTCATTATATTGGAAAATTTCAATATGCCAGTAAAATGTTCCTCATGAAAATGTCACTAAATAGATAAGTAAAAAATACCCAAACATAAAAAATCTCCCTTTCAAAAATAAATGATACACCTTATGTTTATCAAGGAAATTGTCTGTAGATGTATTTCATGAAAATTTATCAGAGTAAACACAAATATTAACCACATAATGTTACACCGCTGTAAAGATAAAGTCCAACCATGTTGTTGCTTACCATTCAAATATGAGATCAGGCATGGTCTGGATGATTTTTTTCCCCAAGGATTATCCAAGAAGCACAAGGTGCAAGTTGTAAATTATTAACTAGTGTCTGAACTTCTTCCCATGAACAGGAACTAAGCAAATACACACTGGAGAAACAAGGCAAGTATTTGAACAGATCTGTTCTAATATTCCAGACAGAATAGTAGCTCTCTTATTCCAATGTATACCATCATGTATTGTAACTTCTCTAATTAATGTATTTTAGTTGTGTAATTCCATAGGACATTGAAAAAGTGCATATTATATCAAATTTCATTATTAATTCCAAAGGCAATTCCTTCAAGCCTTCAAGTATATAGCTTGCAATGTTATGGCCAGTTTTTCAGGAAAAAATTAACCTTCCATCTCATGTTGGTGCTCTTTTATTTTCTTGAATTTTTTCCTGAAGAAAATGGGCCCCATTATATATTCTCAGTGTAGTCTTGAATGTATTGTACATCTGAGAAAGGTTGAGTTGAACTGGGTCATTTCTGAGTTGCTGTTTGGGCCTGCTTTCACATGTCAGATGCCAGAAGAGTCACAGTGTACTTAGGGTAGTGGCCAAAAAGAACTTAAATAGTATGAGATAAACAGTTTGATGGCTACTAACATTTGCTATGCTTTGGAGTTATAGCAACATTAGGATCCAGTGATTGACACAAAGTGATTGCTAATTGCTGTAATTAATCAAATGTCATTCAGCACTGAGGAGCTATTGGCATCGCACACACACACACAAAAGCACACAGGGAAATCCCTTATACAAGAGAGTCACAAGTTCAGAAAAATGCTATTCATTTTTATTAGTTTCTCCTTCATTTGCTGCAAATACAAGGTTCCATGTGCCCTGAGAACAGTAGCATGACAGTGGGAAAATTTGCACTTTGGCTTCCATCAGCTGTCCCTAATTCAAAATATTTCCAGGCCTTCAGCAATGCTGAGATACAGTAACAGCCCAACAAAATGGGGAATATGGCAGCCAGATATTTCTTCTGCTTGATGCAATTATTGCAAACATATATGAGATCCATGATAAGGTTTTATGCAAGAGTACAAACTGGTAGCTGGGCTAATAACTTCTATTCATTTGATATAGAGAATGCAAGTGAAAATTTCATATAAGGTCAAATCACTAATATTCTAAGTATCAAAAGTAACATGAATTCATGAATAATGTCAAGAAATTCTTCCTGTGTTTATTTATTTGCTTTCAAGGTTGTGGATGTGTGAAACTCATACTGAAACTAAATGCATCTTTGGTTATCAGGAGACAACTTTTGCAGCAGCTGCCAAAAAGTCTTAACAATATTTGCTGATTTTCTCTCTACTTTTGCTAAATGTATGCTTCTTTAGCATTGGATCTCTGCAGTCATTTAAGAACTACCAGAAGTATTTGAAGAATATTTTAAATTATTTCTGGATACTACTGGAACTCTTCCTATACAGTGGAATAAAAAACTCCAAACAGGAGCATCTTAGATGTATTCAGGCACTAAAACCCATTCCATATCATAGATGGATACCCCTCAGTACTCTGATCCAAAAAGCCTTGAGATTCCCTCCATAAGTAAGTTGTTGCTGTCCAGTCTGCAAAGGTCACAGCACTGATGCTGACAGTAGGGGTCAGATATTTATACCAATTAATAGCGTGAAGTTCAGCAGCAACCTTTGGGATTCTGTGAAAAAACAGCTATAAACAATGCGTAAGGCAGGCATGCACTGACTGTGAATAGAAACTGTAGACAACTACACATTTAAGTAATGATAATCATTTTCTCAGGTAGAAGGAACAAGCACAATTAAGAGAAGCAGAGCAGATGTCTCGGGAACAAGCAGAGAGCATCTGGGTGCTTTTTATTTGATCTATGCAAGCCTTTGATGGCCAAGCCCAACTAATGCCTCCTTAGATGCATATCTTTAATTTTTATTTCATGTGACACTAGAAATACCAGTACCTTTCCTCAGGAGTTGGACTCTGATGATCCTTTTGGACCCCTTTCAACTCAGGATATTCTGTGATTCCATGACATGGGCCCTTTCCAAAAAAGATCTACACAGCTCTGGAAGAAAATGCCTAGCCCTCTGAACAGCTCCATACTGTTTCTCTGGAAGCTTCTTTTCTTCTTAGTGTCATTATCAGGTTACTTGCACATCTCTTTGCAGAAAGTAAGCTCATATAAAAACTGCTGGGGCAGGCTAGGGCTGGCCAGTTTGTATTTTGGTTGGTTTGTTTTTAGCCGTTGCCCAGAGCAAACATCTAATCTCAGTTTAATGGCAAACTGGCAAGAGCTTCTCTGTTTTCTTTCTCAGCCAAAAGCAAAAGAATCTAACATATTTCCTATAAAGAATCCCCAACTGACACAATATAAATTATGCATTTCTCATTATTACGGATTTTGAAAGATTAGTATAAAGAATTAGACTCTGCTCTTCTCTATTCTGTTACATAACTAAGCACTCGGGTAGAAAACAAAGTTTTGTAAACACTATGTAGCAAATATTTTCAATTATTTAGTATTATAAATCAGTAAATTATTCCAGCTTATAAATTAGTTCAAAAATACATGGTAAGGGAGATGACATACAATGTATGCCACTCACTCTAGAGTGTCACTTGGACTCTGAGTACTTTATTGTTTGAAGACGCTGTAAAACAGTAGAAGCCATTTCATTCTACCACTGGAAGCCAACCTTTAATCCACCTAATACACTTGTAACATCTTAATTTCCCTATGCTGTCTGTGGTGAAAACGTTATCTGCAATACATGCTAACAATATATTGCTCCAGGGAGCATCTTCAGACACAAGATTTTAAAGTTGTTTTCAGTTCTTTCCATCTTGTCAAGAGATGAAATTAAAAAACATCATTGTTAAAAGCATCTTTAATTTTGAGAGCAAATGGCAAATAGCGATGGGCAAAGAAGATACCTAAGGGCACTATATATGTACATAGAGACACATAGCAATGACATTTAATATGACTGCATCAGTTTTTTGGCACAGGAAATGTACTGCCAAACAGTTCTGTGTAGGAGCACAATCTCCTCCAGGCATTTCATGCGCTGTGTTTTTTTCATTATGCATTTCAAATACAGTGTTTTCAAGCTATCAGCTAAGTACCATAGCTTCCCAGTAAACCTGATCTATGACCTTGGGAATAGTGTACTTTTGGGCATGGTTTTCTTTGAAATTGTTAGAAATTGAGTCAATAACTTGCAATTATTTTTTTCTTTGAAACGGATCCTAGGCAAGGGTGTGCTAATCCATTCAGTCATTCCAGTTACGTCGCAGGGCATGAAGGAAAGACCACTCAAGTCAGTCTCCATGTTTTTATCTCACTCTCTTGTGTTTTCTGACTTTGGCAGCAATTCAAGGCTAACCTCTGCCCAAAGACTCAATATTTGCTTCTGATCAGCATTATTAAAAAGTCTTTTTTTGTTGTTGTGATGGGACATAACCCCACTTCTGACCCCCATGTTTCTCTCTGGCTCTGACCCACCAGTTTCTTCACTGTCACCACAAGCATCCCACTGCAGAAATCTTGTGGGTATAGTCCCTCTCTCCCTGGAAGAGTTCACCTGACCAGAAGCACAGAAACTAGAAAAAAAAAGATAGATAAACATCCTTATACTCAGGCACCTCTCCTAAAAATAACCTCAGAGTGCATTGAGCAAACTTTCAGTAACATGTGGACGAAATAAAACAAGTGCTCTTTCTGTAACAGAGTACCTATCTACCCTGTGTGATCAATAAAAAACAGGGCACATTCTTGAAGATACCATGGCACATCTATTTATTTTTCAGGTCTGTGAATAGAAGAGAATATGTTGAAAATATTGAACATGATATTAAATAATCCAGAAGAACTGAATGATACCTAGCATGTAGTCCTGTTTGCTCATACCCCAGGAGCTTACAGCTCACATATCTTCTATGGAAATCCACCATTCCCTAGGCCTTGGTAAGTTATCCATCTGTACTTTCATGCTCAGCAGGATGGTTATATTCATTGGCTAAATCAACGTTTACAGAGAGCATTGTGCCATAGGGGAAGAAACACGGGAAGGCTGGCACTGAGGACTTGATATTCATTCCCTCCACAGGTATTTCAGCAGTTCTGTCTTACCATAAGGTAGCTCTGGAAAGTTTCTGTGGATGGTAGACCTGAAAGGGTTAAGTGCTGCTTTTGGTTTTTCTCTTGTCCAAATGGTAAGTGTCAACGGTTTGTGCTCTGGCCAACTGCTTCATGTCATGATTCAAAATTCTAAATGTGAAAACCATGGAGGTTAAAATTTGATTAAAAATCTCACTAATAAAATGTAACAGTACTCTAATTTATTCCACTATTTTCCTTCATGATGTTTAGCAGATCTGTGTCTGGTTGTCAACTGACAGCATTAATTTTCAATAACCACGAGGGTGCAGAGCCTGGAGCCATGGGGGCACATATATGTTGTTGGTCTATATCATGCACATCACTGACAGGAGGCAGAAGTATGGGATTCTCACTTCCATGAAGGAAATTTTCTGTGCTTGGGAAGAAAAGGTGGTGGTGGCACACAGATGGTCCAGGGGACCATTTTGTTCTGTCTCTCAGGGTCTGACTGGCTCTGGGTCCAGCTGGTCAGACATTATATTTCTTTTTTGTAAATCACTATCTCTTTGCATATTTTTGCTATTTATATTGTTGCGGTTACTGCTCCTTTTTGTACATCATTGCTGTTTCCAGTAAATTTTTCATATCTCAGCTCAGGAGCTCTGCATTTGTCCTTCTCACCAGAGGTAGGCAGAGCAGAGAACAGATAATGTTTTTTCTGTTTCATCTGAGCAGCAATACCATTTCTAAACCATCACTTTTGTATAAGAGAGAGGTCTGCCAACTCAATAAAACAGAAGGGATTCTTTTTTTCACTTTGCATATGAATACCAAGGCATGAAGGATGTACAGAAATTCATGTTAACCATGATATTTCTAAAATATTTCTCTTCTTTTTAAAATTAGAAATGCCAGATAAAATCCTTCCTAAGTACTATCCTTCATTTCACATTTTATAGTGTTACAATATTTACAAATTAATTTCAAAGGTTTCTTTAAATGTTTAGTTGGTACATTTGTGTCTTTCTACCTAAGCTGTGAGAGACAGAGGGAGGGGGAGGATTGAGAGACAGGGAGATAGATAATTGGGTAGATAAAGGGACAATTCAATCTTGGTTACCACTGACGTAAATGTGAATCACATTTACTGAAGTCAGCATATCTTGTCTGACACCTGGGGAAATGAGAGCAGAATGTTACTCTTACCATTTTTTAAAATACCATTATTGGAGTTATTGCATCAATTAACATTCTCAAATATATATTTTTCTCCACAGACCTATGAGTTCTGCCATCCAGTGAACTGTTCAACTGTCATTTAAAACAGCCACTCAATAGCACTTTAAATTAACAGAAGTGGAGGTGATAGGATTATCATTAAAATGTGAAATCAAAAATAATTTTGTATTTATTAACCGCTTATAATAAGATTAATAGTATATGATTAGTCACAGTCTGAGAGACATAAAGATTTTTTTCATACTGTATTTAAACAAAATTATTTAAGAAAATTTTATATATGCAAGCCCAAAATGTGCATATTTGAGTGCATATCCTCTCATTCTGGCACACTACTAATTTATGAAGGCATGGATTCTGCAAGCACATTTATCTTTAATTTCATTTAGAAGACCATTGATACCAAAAATACCAGAGATGTACAAATACACTGTTTTGAACATGCTTGTATTTAATCTAGTGTAATACAGACACAAGACTGACTGAAATATCACTTAGCCTATTGTACTAGCTATAATAATAATATAAATACAGCCAATAATAGTTTGTACTTCCTTATGTGTATGTACATATATATATCAAGTAATAAATTAGCACCAGAAAAACTATTGTAATCAACAATCTGCAATAAATTATGATATTTTTAATACTGTATTCATACTGGGAAAATCCAGGGCAGGACATTATTTTCTTCTAATTGCATTCCCTAAGTGCAGGAGTTGTAACAAAACAACAGATGCTAGGCATAGCTAGAGATATGAATCTTTGATTTGTTTTTATAACTGCTCTGACATTTAGGCTGTGGGCTTTAAGAGGAGATTCCAAGGCAAATGTTTTCATCATCATCTGACTCATTTTTGCCTGGAGGAAATACCAATTTAAAAAAAAGAGATAAATAAGCAGCAGCAGGAGATTATTGTTAGGCAAAATTTCCTCTGGTGGTTCCGCTGTGTTTATCATGTTCTGCTGAACACTAACTTTTACTGAGAATTACACACTTTCTCCCTCTCATACACCATATTTATCTTGATTTGTGTTTGTGATTGTACACAAAGGTTCAAACAGTCCTTATAAATCATTTCACTTGTCTAATATTGCCCTTATGGGGAAATTACATGTTCACTGGGAGACAGTAGCAACTAATAGAAGAAGCCAGCAAAGAAAACGTGCAAAAAACTCTCCAACAAATCACAAGCAAAATGTCATTGCGTTTAATTACTCTCCCCAGCAAAATAAGCACATGATGGTGCCTGCATGTAGTGATGAATATAGCATGTGATTAGCACTGAATGTAAAGGCATGCACTGCCAAGGGGAAAATGCTCATCTTCTATAATAAATTCTCTACTAGATTTTGAGAGATATTGCAGACCCTATGCACACAGAGCCCCAGAGTAAGTTCAGGACCAGCCTTTCCTTCCAGGTTACAATTTGATTTTTTTAATTGTTGGTGCTGGATCTTCAATGCTCTCCTATGTCTGTGCTTTTCAGATCAGTTTACCAAAGAGTATGAAGTACAAAATTTTCTTTGAACATAGATTTTAATAGATAATTATTCCATACTCAATGGTAGACATTTATTAAATATAACTGTGTTTTGTAAATCAGTTCTGAATTGGAAAAAGATTTGTAACACCTCACAAATATGTACAATGAAAATTAGACATTTTCCTCTGCTTAGAGGAAGAAAGATCTGAAATGGTTTTTTCCTATAGAAACTGAAGTCTGTCCAAATCTAGTCTGCTGATTGGGCCCCATAATTTGTGTATGACAGGGTTCTCATACATTCCTCCCTGACTGCAGCAGGAGTCTTCAGATCTTTGCAATGTGAACACAATTATTTAAGGGATACAAAAATGCAGTCTTTTAGATGAAGAAACTGCTTCATTTAGTGATCCACAGGGAGTCTTTACGGGGAGAAGTGGATGTGATAACTACTAGATCAGCTGTGTTTAAATTCTGAATTAATGTTAGTTTTTTTTCAAGTGTTATAAAATAAGAAAATACTTAAAGGGGGGGTGGTTTGAGTTTTGAGTAAAAGGGCTACAGAATAGTCATGTGAGATGAAGAATGAGAATTGTGGACAGCTTATTACACGTTGCCTGTGCCAATTCTTCTTCCTCAGGAAAAGGACTCCTCACACTCTTCCTCTGCTCCAGCATGGGATCCTTCCTGTGGAACACAGCTCTCCATGGACTTCTCCAATGCGAGTCCTTCCCATGACCTGCAGCTCTTCATGAACTGCTACAGTGTGGGTCCCCCATGGGGTCACAAGTGTGGGCTCCTCTATGCACAAACCCTCCAGGTCCTGCCAGGAGTCTGCTCCAGTGCAGGTTTCCCACAGACATCTGCCTGCTCCACTGTGGAATCCTCCACAGGCTGCAAGTGGAGCTCTGCTTCCCCCATGGACCTCCATGGGCTGCAGGGGCACTGCTGCCTCACCATGGGCCGCACCATGGGCTGCAAAGGAACCTCTGCTCTGGCACTCAGAGTACCTCTTCCCACTCCTCCTACACTTACCTTGCTGTCTGCAGAGTGGCTCCCCTCAGCCTGATTCCCCTCTCCTGGCTGCAGTTGCCATTGCAGAGGGGGTTTTCCCCTCTTTATTAAATCCATTTCCCCAGAGATGCTACCACCATCACTGGTAGGCTTGGCTGTGGCCAGTGGTGAGTCCCCCCTGGAGCTGACTGGCATTGGATCTGCCAGACATGGGGGAAGTTTCTGGAAGGTTGTGACAGAAGCCACCCCTGTAGCTCCCAAAAACCTCACCATGCAAACCCAGTATGCTGGGTATTGCAAAATATTGGCCAATTTTTTCTCCTGCTTACTTACAGAGTGAAAACCCAGTATGTGGTAGCTACGCCTTTGAGAGTCCATATTTGTCAGAACACGTTGCAGTTAAGATTGCATGTACCAAAATGCCTGTTTCACATCCTTTGGGAATTTTGACCGTACCTTTCTGCACAGCCATGCCTACAGTCTCTTCTCTGGGGGCTCTAAGTAGAAAACAGAGAGGTCTACAGACTCCTTGAGCCCTTTCTCTTGTGGGAGACCAGCAAGAATGGACCTCGTAGGTATTTGTTTGGAGTTTAGACTAATTTTTTTTTTTGCAAATGAGGATCTTCCAAAAACAGAGCAAAAAATTAGTTCAGTATCCACACTGTTGTTGAATAAACAGAAGCTAAATAAAACATACCTCAAATGTTATCCCTTTCTTAAAATGAAAGACACATCTGAATGATTTTCCACATATAAGGTAATAGATATTTTGAGTGATTCAGACAAACAAGTACTCTAGATATTAACAGGGGAAATGATCTTTCATGTGTGTTTTTATTGTGTTTTCTTTTCTTCACTCTTTTGACGTGTTTTGTAAAGAATTTCACTATGAAACTCAGAAGAAAATTCTGCATCACTTAAGGATATGTAGAGCTCCTACCTGAGAATGACATGGATTAACTTGCAGAATGAAATCTGGCAGTATTTCTACTCTTCTGAAGAGCTTGAAGAAGGAATCATAGCTTCAAATTCCTGTTCCTAGCATTTAAGATCTATCTTACAGGCTGGAAATAATAAATAACTTCTAGAAGTTTTTCAGAAATTGTTTTGAAAATAAAAAATTCTGACATCCATATGAAGTGTTTGCAAAATGAGTTTGTGCTCTGATTCTCCAGAGTTGTACAAGATCTGTTGCTAAAAAGGAAATGAAAACCCTTCAGAAGCCTGTGATTTCTCTTTAAAAAAAGTTTTATTTTAAGATTAAAATACTAATAATATGCATGTGCATTCTGTTTGCTGTCCTGGAACCTTGAACTGTGAAATTACATGCTCATGCAAATTTGAAAAGTAACCATATTTACATAGATTAGAAATGTGCCCAGATAGATAAAGAAGTAAAAAATACAGATAGACATTATAAAAATACTAAAAAAAAAAAAAAAAAGAGCTTATGAATCCTGTACCCCCCCCCAAAAAACAAACACAATGAGGTCTAATACTCTTTGGAAGCACCAGCAATTATAGAGGTTTTCTTATTCAAATTCTTTGAGTTTAGTGAGATTTTACCTATGCTCTCCAGATTGTTTGAATATAAAGCCTCTTTCTTTGTTCATTTGCTATTTCTGTGGTTTACAGTTGTGAGAAAAAGCCACAAATTTTCAAGAATAATGAATGTCTGAAATAGTGTGATGACAGCAGGGCAAACTGTACTCTATTTCATTTTCCACTGTTGAGCATTTTGTGAAGTCATTTACAACGTGAGTTCAAATTGCATATAGACATTCTAATTTGGATTTAGGAACAAATTATACCTGTTTGCATGGCTGTAAGTAACTTCAATATATGCTAGCCAGTGAAAAAGCAAACTCAGTACCTTCAATAGAGCCATTCATTTCTTGTTTTAATACATGTATCTATTGTCTGTCCTTCAAATCAGTTTTTTCTCTTAATTTTTAAGGATATATTTTTGTTGCTATTTCCCAGAAAAATAATTGGAGGAGTGCAGGGGGTCAGATAAGGTTAATTCCATTAAATAAAGGGAGATTTATAAGTTACTGGGCTGTTGTGGGAGACAGCTAGCAGGCATATGTCTGTTAATGTTGAGATGATAGCTGTTAAAGCAAGTGACCTTTAGAGCAGTGAGAGGGGGCAAACCAGCACAATTACATTGAGGTGGATGGATATGCACAGACCAAAGAGCTGATGCTGCAGCCTCATGCACATTTTGAGTGGGTTTTACCTCAGACTAGCCCTAGTTTGGTCCCTTAGGCAGAGTGACTGCAGCAAAAGAATCTTAGATACATTCCTGGTGCATGTTTAGGTTCACCTTAAAAAAATCCAGTGCCTTGAGACCACTCCGCAATACCAACTAACTGTCTTTGCTTTAAGTAGGAACATTTGGCAGATTCTCTGCAAAAGCACGAACTGACCAGACCGAAGAGCTAAGGTAGCTACAGCTGCAGCACAGCACATGCCCTGCAGAGCTTTGCTGCATAAACTCACAGCCCCACTAGTTTTCAGTATAACTGCCCCCTTCCCAAGAAACATACAAGCAAAAATGTACATTGCCCATCTGAGGCTATGAGTACCAGAAACACGCTTCAGAACCATAAATCAGTTTCATCTCTTATTCTGTTTGTCCTGAAATAATGACTGCACCTTCCTCAAACTTGTCACTTTCCAAAAAAACAGAGAGAATTTTCTTGGAAACTTAGTACCCATCACTGCCACCTTTTTAATTTTTTTGGGTGTAATATTTTCTGAGAGGAAAGGATTGCAATAATGAAAGTACCAAATGTAATTCTGCATAGCTCAGCATTAAAACATCACAAGTTATATCCCTAGAGACTGTATTAGAATTCAGATGATTAAAAAATAATTCAGGAGGGTGGAATGACAGAGTTGTCATGGATCTTATTGTAATTAATTCTGTAGAGTTCATGTTATGAATTTTCCCTTATTGATCTCAGAGCTAAAAATATAAAAATCTGGACATCTCATGTAGTAACTGGCTTTCACGTAGATAGGGATTTTTTTTTTGAAAACACCAAATACCATTATTTCGATTACTAACTTGTGAAAAATTGACTTTTGTGTTGTTGGTGGCATATTATACTAAACTGATTAATTTTTTAGTCTAGTCTTTAGAATAATATTGAAGACACTAAACGGTTAACACTGTACTTTCATATATGGCTCTTAAACATTCAATACTTGAAGTATTGAACTGTATATGAAAAATTTCAGGTGAAAATCAGTAACTATTTTTATTTATATGAGAAAAAAATTCACTTTTGTTATAGAGCTGATATATGGTCTTGAAAGTTGTATGAAGAGGGAAAAAGAGGGCAGTCTGTTGTGGTTAAGGGATCTGAATTATTTGAAAAGCAACGCTTGGAACACTGTAGTTACTGTTGCTACATGAGTTGAAAACAGAACATGGATGTCTATTTTCAAGTATTTGATAAGAAAGCACAGTAAATAATTTATTACTGTCTCTTTTCAAATCCTTCGGAACTATATTTAGTAAAAATCTTTACAGCTTGCACAGTACTATTCAAAGGCTGATCTATGTCTTCATGTAGACATCCGTATTTATCCATCATACATGTTGGTCTATCAAGTTGTTTTCTGTCATTATCTTTGTCTGTTTGATTCCAGGGTAGCACAATGTCATTGAGTCAGAAGAACAGCTGCTCATTCCTGCAAATAGCATGCCTCAGAAAACCCATGTCATGCCATGTGGACTTACCCTGGAATTGCTTGTTAGTGTCTAGACAAATCAAGAAGATAAATTCCAAGACTTCTTCTGTCAGATTAATTGTCATTTTATTCTATTTCCTTTGATTTCTCAGCTGCACACTGGACATATAATTCTTATGACTGGCTGACAACTGGGTATCCAGTGTTTCTAATATAATCCTTCCAAATCCATGGGATGATAGTAGCAACAATGGCAACAAAAGTTAATATAAACAGCCTATATTATTATCTTTTTTCTGTTCTCCTCCACCCCAAGAAACAAGCTTTACAACAGCTACTCTAGATCACCCAATCTTCTTGTTTAACCCTAGCCCCACACCTAAGCCCCACACAGCTTCTCACTCCCTATTCCCTGATGGGATGACAGAGTGAATCAGAGGGGTGAAAGTGAGAAAACTTGTGTGTTGAGTTTAAAACAGTTTAATAGGAGAAGCAAAAGCCATGCATGCAAGCATGGCAAAGCAAGGAGTTCATTCACCACTTCTCTTGGGCAGGCAGCTCCAGGAGAAGCCAAACTCCATCACATGTAACAGTGACTTGGGCTGACAAACACCAACACTTTGAGTGTCCTCCCATTCCTTCTTTTTTGGCCAGCTCTATATGCTGAGCACAGGACCATAAGGTATGGAATATCCCTTGGCCAGCTGGGGTCAGCTGCTTTGCCTGTGCCCCTCCCCCCAAACTTCTTTTACACCCTCAGTCTCCTTGCTAATGGTGTAGGGTGAGGAGCAGAGAAGGTCTTCGTTCTGTGTAAGAACTTCTCAGAAGTTCTTTTTAATAAAACAACCCTGTGTTATTAGCACTAGTTGCAGAAAAAAAGAAAAACAAAAAACAAAACAAAACAAAACAAAAACCACCAAAAAAAAAAAAAAAAAAAACCCAAAAAAGCCCCCCCAAAAAACCAGCAAAATACCCCAAACCTAATCAAACCAAACCAAAAACAAACAAAAGAAAAACAAACAAAAAACCAAAACAAAACAAAATAAAAAAAAATCCTAACAACACCACCAAAAATCCCCGAAACACAGCTCCATACCAGGAACCATGAAGAAAATTAACTCTATTCCAACCAAAATCATCACATGAAACATAGGTTCTACAAAGCTTGCTACCGTCTTCAATTCCAAAACATGTTTTGGGATCTTATGCTAAATCTTATGCTAAAAACCTGCATAGGTTTTTTCTGCCAATTAATTGTTTATTTTGGGATGCAGAACAATGGGATCACTTCTTCCTGAGTCATCAGCAGTAACAAATTACCTGTGTGTTACCTTTTATCTTTCAGCTCACCACAGGGGACCAGCTCTAGGTGTGTGGTGTGACCCTTGGGGCTGTCCTATACAGCCAGGAGTTCAATGATCCTTGTTGGTCCCTTCCAACCCAGGATATTCTATGATTCTATGATTCTACTGCCTCTCTGTCCAAGAAGTTTAAAATTAAGTTCTTCATAATTTCCTCCAGTTTCTTTTCCTCCAGTTCCTTTTAAAACACCCAGAAACGTTGTCAGTGTTCTTCATCAAAACTAAAAATTTTAAATCTTGAGTCAAAACTACTTGGCTACAAGAAATTGAGAATTAAATCACAATTTTCAGTGAACTCACTGGAGCTAGCCAGTATGTAAGTACCTGGATGCGTGTTATCCTGACTATATCAGTCTTATGTTCCCAGAAATTAAGCAGATTAGGCATTAATTATTTGCATGTATGAACAATCAGTGCTAGAGGAAAGCATAATATTTATTACTAATTTTAATATTTTACATAGAAAATAATCAGCATTAGTTTACCAAACTTTAGAAGTGTTTTCATGTACTTTAGTTCTTTTTATTTATTTTTCATGTCCAGGTTAAAAGAGAGGTAGAGAAAGGAAAAACTGTATACTTGCTGTGGGTTAGAGCCTGCTGCCGCATGTTTTTGTGGGTGTTACAGTAGACATGTAACCTTAATATAATGAGATATCAATTTAAAGAATTAATGTATACAATTTTGAACCTACCTATGGGAACACAGGTAAATTTTGGAAGTATTTCTAGTAATATTCATGCCCACTGTTTAAAAGAATGTCATGGTTTTAAGTTCAGCTGGAAATTAAACACTACACAGCTGCTCAGTCAATCCTCCTTCTCCACCCCACAACAGCATGGAATGGCCAGGAGAATCCAAGTAAAGCCTGTAGGTAGAGGTAGAAAGAGTTTATTAATCAAAAATAAAATAAAAAATACAGTAATATCCATAAATTATAATAATAGTTTATAAGCAGAAAAAAATCAAGTGTTGCACAATATAATTACTGACCACCCACTGACCAGTGACAGACCCTTCCTCCAAGCCCAGATCTGCTCCCATTGTGGGTAACTCCCTCCATTTTATACACTTAACATGACAGTTCTGGCTGTCCCAGCTCTGCTCCCTCCCAGTTTATTTTGTTTACCTGTTCACTGGCAGG